GGCCGCGGCCGCCGCTGCCGCCGCCACGCCCAGCCCGTACGAGTTGGCGTTAGACAGCGTCGGGCTGGCAGCATTCTGCGACAGGATCGCGTTGATGGATATGGCGCCGCCAGCCAGGCCCAGATCGAACAGATCGTTGGTCACCGTGCTCAGCAGTCCGGTGCCGTTGTGGTGTGCCACCGAAGGGGCCGGCTGCATGATGCTTGCCTGGTTGATCAGCCCGATGATACTGTTCGGGCTCAGTACGTTGTGCCTGCGGGTGACATGGAAAAAAAATAAAATACGCTTGAGTATACTCTGCAGTGGGTGACGGATTTAGGGTGAGGTACTGGTTACAACCCCTCCCCTAAATTTCAAAACAATATAATGTGCAGGGGTAAACGAAGAATATATCCAAATGTAATAATAAAGTGTAAAAGTTTAATATTCACGGGGCATACATAATTTATTTCTGATACACAGTAAAACTTCGGTAAGACAGCTGAACTTCTGTAAGACGGAAACCTTGTTCATACGAACGATTTCTTTGGTCCCGATTCAAATATATAATGAATGTGGACGGTCCTAAGCGATTCCGTTTTAGCGATTTTTTTACCATTAGCAATTTAGATGAATATTACAAGATTGTTTTTTTTTTTTTTTTTGAAAATAGTAAACACCGTATATCAATATTAAAGATTATATTAACAAATCTTTTTGTGAAATAAAAGATATAAAACGACAATTAATTAATTTAAAACGATCGAATTTTACAAACGTGATAATTGGCATACCTACTGGTCGCAATAATATTATTATTTATAATGAGTTGACTATCATCAAACTTAGCTTTAATTTTATTCTGTAAACGGTTTTAGAAATAAACTTTGAACAGTCATTAATTAATTAATTAAGGACCCGGGTTATTAAGTGAAGTAGGCTGTTTCGGCAAACTGTTTCGCTTGACTAACGACAGATGCTTCAACAATAATGCGTACTTGGTCAAGCTCAACCCAAAATTGTTCGACAATGGTTTGAACTAAAGGCCCATTAAATATTATGATCATGATAGTAAAGTATAGGTTATTAACAATAACATATAAGTTGCAGAAATGCATTCGAATTTCGAACACTGTTTTTTTTTCGACAAAAATGCACGCCAAAAACCTCGGTAATAGAAAAAATTCCTTATAATGAGTAACGACCAACAMAATTATTGGATATGTAAAATTGTTTAGGTACCTATATTAATGTATAAAAAACATAATAATATAACGTGTAAACCGATGTCGTATTAAACTATTTCTACTATATATATATATACATAGTATATAATATTATATACCAACTACTACGTTCTAGTGAAGAGTCGCAGAGATGACCAATTCATATTTTTGGAGAGCTAAATTAGGAATTCATGAAGTTTTTTTTTTTTTTTGGGGGGGGGGCATCAAAATATAATACGCATGTTAATAATCAAAATAAGTTGAAGTCATATGGATAAAGAGTTAAGTTAATTTAATTCACCATCAAAATAAATAGTAAATTAAAAAAAAAATAATGACAAATCTGCGAAAAGATTACGTTTGGGACTGCCATTTGCAGAGGACCCCGAGTCTATAGTGTTCACGACAATGATTAGAGCTGTTATGTGTTATAAGAGTGAATTTGCCGTAAATCTAAACGATAGAGATCATCTAATCAATTTGACTCAGGAAATTGGTTTACCGCTGTATCCCGACAAATCTTGAAGTCTTCACAAATTCGGTTAACGTTACTTAGGCCATTCGAGTAGAAATACTATATTGCATAAACGTTGCTTATTTCAGCTGTATCAAAACATTATTCTGTATACTAATATGTTGAATTAATTTTACTGGCGATGTTGGCAAATTTTACAAATTTTACAATGGCTTATAATTAACAAAATACAATAAATTTATAACATTTTTATTATACTAAGCATTTATATGTAATATATTATACATATATATTATATATTCAACATTGAAATTACAATTTTTTTTTTTGGAAGAATTATTTTAATGTTGGTACATGCTTAATTGCCAAATTAGTAAGTTTTTAGTAATGAGAGACCTTACATTAAGTTACCTAATTGTAAAATAAAAATTATTTAATTTTAACCATTAAGATCGTAAGTGGTAATTTGATTTTTATGCTGACTTARTAACACATACAATCTGAACATGTTATTTTAAAAGTTATACAATTACATAAAATTTTACAACCCTCAAGCACATATTATCGTACGAGTCGTACGCAATCGAGTCGCATTTAAGGGATTCTTTTGTTGTGGCAATTCCTAACATCCTAACATGTATACATATGAGCAATCGTGTTTCCAAAAAGGTAAATTATAAACGCAATCGGGTCCTAACTGTCGTTTCCCCGGAATTCGGAATTTTTTTAGAAAACTTGACGCGCCAATATATTTTATGCACACAAGGGTCAGCGCATTCCACACGAAGGAATCCGGATTATACTGCCCACCCCACCCATAGTTTGAATTCAGCGAGCATATTATTGTCACTTATATGTTTGAATTATTATTTTTTATTTATAATTAAATGCATAATTTAATTTGTTTTCGCAACTATAGTTGAAAGAAACCGTCTGCACATTAATTATCACTATATAAATACCTATATGGCTATATGTATCATATATTATGTGCGCTGCTTTCTGTTTTTCGCAGTATATTGCGTCGAATGACGAAGTTCACGCAGTGTATCACACATGTCGTAATTTCCGAAAAGTCACCTTCTTGTATGATTCTACTATTCATCGAGACGACTGATGAAATCAGGCTGCATTATAAATGGTAGGCCATCAAGATTTTCTTTTCGTTTATTATTAACGTGCAACGTGAAATGTTGACACCTATGCTTTTTTTTATAAATTGTTACATAATTGTACTTTAATGTTAACTATCAATGATTTGTGTTACATCTAATTATAATTTTGGTAAATTAAAAATATATCACCCAATTTTAATAAGACCCAATCACTCTGGTTTTCTTAGAGTTAAAATATTTTTGTTTTTTTATTTAAGTGAACTTATCAATACAATTCATTTTTAACTACTGAAACTAGAAATATACAAAGATTGTTAAAAAACATAAACAAAAAAACAATAAAGTTTTGTAACTTGGCATTTGGCAATGAGACAATGGTCGTAGAGTTCTATTTTACAAAATTACAAGTATACAATTGAAATCCATTGTATTCTAACTACTCTGACTTTTGAAATGAAAATGAGTTATTTATTGTGAATGGCACGAAATGTAATTCTATTCATTTTAACAATCACAAAAACTYCTTGTGAATGAATATACTTTGTTTTTCTTAGAATTTATGATGTGTATAGCTGTATGATGGATTTATTTTATAATACAGCGGAACTAATAATAATTATAATAAAAAAAAAAAAAACGTGTGTACATAACATAATAGTTGAACTCCATATATATATTTTCTTTTAAGTTCAAAAACATCTTGTCGATTTTCATTTATTTATAGATAAACCTATCAAACGTTTCTAAATATCCAATACCTACAATATTTCATACGGAATACTATACAATATCAAATTATTTAAATTAAAATTAAACAATTTTTCGTTATTATCTCTAGTACATGACATATTTAAATATTTTTTCCAAGCAAACTATCATATTATTTGACTTGCTACTTAAATTGTCATGGCGAGAGTTGTGCATCAACTTGCAAGTATTGCAAGGTATAACGTTGTGAACAAGATGTATTAAAATTATTATTATTWTTTTTTTTTAATCGAAATAAAATAATATTGAGGATCTTAACAGGAGATATTTTAAATCTATGTTGTTATAATAATTATAACTATTTGCGAATATTCAAGTCAAATGTAATGCCCTACGGTTAACTCCACAAAGGATTCTTTGAAAAGTTCACACGTGACAGGCCTGAACTCAAGGCCTCTTTATTCAAACTAATAATAAGTACTGAATACCACCAATACCAATTTATGGTATTATATTATGTAATTGATGTGCATAAGTTATTGGCATTGGGCAATGAGGGACATCACATTTCATCATTCAATATTAAGTAAATACATATTTCAACAAGRAAATATTAGTAATGATTATAAAATCTTAATTAAATTATCAAATTTTATGTAAATATAATTAATATAATAATTTAATTAAAATATCTAGATTAGAATAAAGTAGATTAACCTCTTAAGCCGAGATCATAATTCAATAGTTTAAAAGAAATAAACCGCAATAATCGTTATGAATTACTTATATTAATATTAGAGTCCAATATCCAGGTGCGATATACCTACTGAAATCATAATMAKAATAATATAATTTACTGATAATAAAAATAAGTAAAAACTAAATTATCTAGCTACAATACATTACATATTTAATATTCATGTATAATGTAAATTGTATACAGAATGATTTATATTCTATATTATGTACTACAGAGTTTTTTCAAAATATTTTATAACAAAAAATAAATTTCATTTTTTTTGTCTTACAACATTTTTACAAAAAAACTACTCGAGTTTTCATTATTTACAGTGATTTTCTGTAAGACAATTAATGTAGCAGAGTAAATAAACGACATTCTATGAAAAACATTCTTGACATTTTAAAAATCGAAATGCGTTCCGTCTAAATACGGCAATTCAAGCTCATGTAGGCAATAAAAAAGTGTAATTAAATTGTATTAATATGTTTCTCTTACTTGGCTAACGTCAAAAAGGCGACAGCTATTTCGTTGACTGCGGATTCTGGATATCCACTGGACCTCAATAACGGCTTTACGTTGTCTAAGAATTTGTTCGTGAATATACCATTACTGACATCCTGTGTAGATAATGGCGTGGCATTTAAGTTGTAACTAGTCTGGTTGTTGGCTGAAATTAGACAACGAGCACACGGTTAAACGATATGACCGCTAATACGGCATAATACCTACAACTATCTACGTATACTGTATAGGGGCGCGTAAGACAGAGGTATGTGCAGCAGGTCTGATCCTCACCCCCCCTCACCATTGCCTTATTTTATTATTGAATTATCTTGATCTAATAAAGGTGCATAGAAACATCTTGTTATATTATTTAGAATAATTAATAGATGAATTGACGAAAAATAAAATAAAATAAAATTTAATTTGAAAGTTTAATTACATAGAGGGTATTTAATAGTATATAGACGTATTTTTATGGTGCTCGGCGATAAGTTCTATCCACAGATCCGAACCATGTGGATGTTTAAAGAGGGGACTCGTACAAGTCACGTATACGCGATTTCAGTGTTTCATTATGCTCCTGATACGATMATTATGTATAACAAGAACGCAATAGTTATATTTTGATAAATAATTATAATACTGTGTAATACATACAGCAATTAGTGGTGGCCAGGGCGTAAGGTGATCCAGTCGGGTTGAAATTCGCCACAGGGCCATTGACGTCAGCGTAACTTAAATTCGGGCAGGACGCGCTCAACGGGTCTTCGATTATTTTGTTTAATATACACGAGCACACTTTTTTGTTTCCTTCCGTGTTACCTGCAACGAAATAATAATCCATTAAAAAAAAAATCATACAACAAATACACCATGAATAAATCTGTAATAGAATTATATCAGAGCTACATGAAGCTATGCATTATTATTCATTTATTGTACAGTGTTGTAAAGTGTTTAAGAGGACGCTACACCCGCATGTGTTGTCTCCGTCTTACAAGTGCGTCCCATTGCAATAAGTGTTTCGCGCGGGAAAGAACCGAGAAAGCTACAGTTATAACTAAGAAACAAAATTTTCACCACATAAAAAGGAGAATTTTGTCTGTGCAATATCGTATTTATTTTTTCGATATCAGAACTACAAAAAAAGCTATTCATGCTTAAAAAAACACAACATTAATATATTATAGAACAATAAGGATGTTTTTTGTATAAGTGATATCGAAAAAATAAAAMCGATATTGCACAGACAAAATTCTCCTTTTTATGTGGTGAAAATTTCGTTTCTTAGTTATARCTGTATCTTTCTCGGTTCTTTCCCGYGCGAAACAGTTTTTGCAATGTTACGCACTTGTAAGACGGAGGCAACACATGCGGGTGTAGCGTCCTCTTAAACATTTTAGTAAAAGTGTTGTCTATTAATATAAATGTTTTGATGTGGAACAACTTTTTAAAATACTATTTTTATCGTGTGTTTAGATTTTATTTAAAAAACTTATTGGATATTCTATGTTTTTCGAATTTCTATCCTCGGGTCGAATGATTCATTTTATATAATATATTATTTTACTTTCATGAATTTTTTTTTTTATTATGTATGGTTATTATTGGAATAAAAAATCTAAATATTACAAACTACAAACGATTGTGGTAAGTAATAAAATAATAAAATGTAAATCAGTAATAACGATGAGTGTAAATGGGTGATTAAGTTAATTATTACATAAGATATTAATGAGATAGATCGGACATCTTGGCATAATGATTTCAATCCAAAAATATGATGATGATGTGTTCAGTCCTGAAACTACTTATTATAATATTTCCATGAAACCTACAAAGTTGATTTATATCTCATTAAAAATGGTTTGTCAAGTAGATAAAAAATGTGAAATTTAAAAACTAATCAACTTTTTAACAGTTAAAAAAATGGTTAATTTCAGCAGATTGGAGGAAGAATTTTATAATTTATAATGTTGTAAAATCGTATATTTTAGAAGAATTGCAGACTTGAAGAGTTTGAGGCCTTTATCTTTAATAGTTTATTTACTACAGACCTTTAAAGTTGTAAATCATAAAACACGCAAACATGTAGATTAGAACTTTGCGAAAGACAAAAATTCGTTTAAGTTTTTAAAAGAGCTAAAAAGTACGAGGTGAGTTTCATAGTAATAGTAAAAYTAAAATATTAAAAAGGATTAACATTTTAGTAACAGAGTACAGACCACTAAAATTTATATGCTATAAAATAATATTCGCTCCAGTTCAGAAAAGTTTCTATTTTGAGCACTGCTTAAAGTACAATTTAGTATAATTCTTTAATAATAAAATATATACACAATATGGTGACCAGTCATTTGATCCGGTAAATAATATCCGCGACATTTGGTCCGGTGAAAAAATGTCCTGTATMAAAAATATCCGATAATTTTTCATTATTAACAAATTTGTTTAAAATAGTTACTTAAATAATTATTATAAATGTTTTGTACTACAAAAAATGATATTATGTATGTTTAAGTTAGTTTAAAATAAAATTAGTATGATATCTTCAAGTCTTAGATTTATAAGAATATACATGCAGACAAAATACTGATCAATGTTATCTGTACTTCGCTCGGTCAATTATAGTTTATGTATGTGAACAAACTTATCATGTTTAGTGTGTGTTCTGTAATCTGTATACGTMTATTCTATAATAGGTACTCCTCATAATTTTGTACACTGTACAGTATACTGGAATTTTTCTTAGTGTTTATTATGACTGTCCACACGATACAAATTTCTTTGCGGGAGGATTTTATAAGTTTGAATTATGCAACTAAAATTTATTAAAAGCCAAAAAGGCAAAAACATGTTGGTATAATATAACATTTTCCTGTACAGCAAGCATGAAGTGTACAAAAAATGTATGGCGTTGCTCTGATCATAAAAAATGTACATGCAAAAGCCGATGTCACACTACTTCAGAAGATGAATCAGGTAATTTAAATCAAAAATTAAGGTATTAGAACTGCTCCAATTCGCTTGAAAAATAATTTTCTTGAAATTTTTCTTGAATATACATTTTTTTAATGTCGAAAAATATGGAAAAATGTCGAAAATTGGTCAAACGATTATTCAAGATTTGGCTTATTATACAACACTGACAATATATAATAATATGGGACTAGCTATCTGTGCTGGTGATGCGAATAAAACGAGTAAAACATTATTAGTTATACAAAACATTTTATTATTATATTATACCTGACACGGTAATGCATCGTTCTTGGAGTGTAGTGTCTTTCGCCTTTTGCGATATTTGTACAAAACAACCGCTGTCTTCTTTCAACTGTTTGATGTACGCTCCGGCTTTACCAATAATCATACCAGCTGTCGAGTTGGGTATCAAAATTTTCACCTAATATGCGAAACATTTAATGTAATAAATTCGCTATAGTTTATTATTTGAGTATGATGGATATATTATTTTTACGAGCAATATAATATATATTGTGTAATGAGCGTACGTTTATTCGTTAATTATTTATTATTGTTGTCATCGCATTCGATATAACAAWAATATGTAGTTACCTGTTTCTCTCGATCTGCAATGGCATCACCAGAATTTTGGACCCTATTTGATGCATCTGGCTTTTCCCGGATTCGTTCCATAATAAATGTAAGTGCAGCCATTATATGTTCAGAACTTGATCCAGAAATTATGCAAACTCTTTCGGTCGTGCCTAGAATTGTTAAATCGATTGTTACTTTAATTCAATTGTCTTTGTACATATTCGTAAGACTAAAACAGAATAACATTTGAGCATATTTTACAAATTGCATTATTAACATAATAAGAGGATTAACAAACGAACAGTTTTTTCTCCGACTAAAGCTTACAGTCTACAGCTAGAACTATGACCTTATTTTCGTTTCAGACTCATCTGTATGACGGCGACGATGCGAAAAGTGTTTCGAAAACATATTTGAATTTTTAACCATGTCTAACCCAAAACAGCTTTAACCACTTTCGACAATTATTTTTTTTTCTTTACAATAAAACCGAATAGTATATACATATATATATATATATATTTATACACAGTATATTATTAATTATTATGTCTATACACTTGATTTCATAAGTCCACGAAATGTCGATTGAACCCAGTCATAAAAATACATTATGAATAAATTAAAACCGGAAAATCAATCCCTCGAAGAGTTTTAGGATGGATTTCAAACGAGAATGAATTCCAATTACATCATTAGTTCGGTCGATACGTTGCTGAATTAAATTTGGTATATTCAATAGTAAAATAATGCGTGATTGCGACCCAGTATCGGTGTTAGTGGCGTGGCGTGCCCTGTTGTACTGGTACGGTAGAATATATCACACACTAATGATGACCATTTAGTCGCACACGCTCGCCTGTTTGTAATATTGCCTGTATCGAACTCCTTAAAAACGGTATGTTCATCATCCCCACGTTATTTATCGTTTGAATATAATTCGTTAAAAATTCATATTTTATAGAAATATTACACGTGAAATTAGGTTAACCGTGAGATATAAAAAAAATCATGAGCGGGACAGTGCTTATAGTGTATTCACTCGATAACCCCGGTGCAAGTATACGTACCTATTGTGTAACTTTTCTTTTAAATTTGAAAGCAATGATAAATCATAACATTCATAAAACTGTTCCATTGTTGTACCATCAATCTTACCGTTTTATCGTTATTTTTAAATTCTAAGCAAAGCTATGAATATAATATTGATTTTACAATGATGTATTGTTTTTTATTATWATTATTATTACTATTATTATTTTTGTATAACTGGTATTCTGATAAAATAAAAATTCTTACATTCTGTGAACAGGGATCTAAATACTAGTTATACAATKATGTTTTTATTTAAGGCCCAAAAAATTAATTTAGGGTAATTAATCCATCAAAAACTGCGCGCTGATTAAACTTTAAACTCTACAGTTGTGTTATAATTAAAAAATAATAAACAAATAAATTTAATCTTGTAAAATATAAATATTTGAAAAAAAATATTTGTACAGCATTACAGCTTACCGAGTTTCATTTAAAATCATTTTTCGAAAATAATTATTAGTAATAATCCTTTATTAAAAAAAAATAATAATAATAATGAAATACTCAAGGTGGATTGATATCAATGCACCTTGGTAATATTGATACTTGTGTAATGATAAGCGAATCAAGTCGAATGTCTAACACTCGGCCACAGCAATATCTAAATTTTTTATTTTGCATGAACACTTCATACAACTCTCATTTAAGGCTTATTGAATAAATCTATTTTAATAAACTTTTAATAAATTAAAGTGATATAATATTTATTTAAATATAATTTCTAAACAAATAAGTAGTGTACATTCTAGTAAAACTCCACCGTTAATAAATGTAAAACAGCTATATATAGAATTTAGTTATAAAAAATAAATTGTATTCGCTTTGGCATACTAAACAGTAAACATGGTAAAAATCGTTTGGAATTTCTCTATTTATGGAATAAGTGGATTATAAAGACGACAAAGTCAGTGAAGTCACCAAATTCAACACACTATAAAAAAATATGTTTATTTTACAAAAAAAGTGCTGAATTAACAATTAAACGACATGTACTGTATAATGTATAACATTATAACTCCCATTATGTGATGTCTACTTGAAGGAGTTTGTTTTATATTTTATCCATCGAATAATGGTTTTTATAAAATTGTTTTCACATGATAACACTAACACTGTTTAACTGAACAATACGAATCTCAGATATTGCAAGAAGAATGGATTAATATATTATTGTTCTCGTGAAAACCCTACTTTACAATATAATATAAAGCGGTATTTTGTATTTTACCTATATTGCAGGTATATTAGTAATCGTGTCAAGTGTCAATAACTTTATCAACCATTTCGATCTATTTTATAACAGAAAATAATTTACATGTTATGAAAAAAGAAAACAATACATWTATACTGATATTTATTAAAGATAGTACTTAAATAAAAAAGTAAAATGCATGCTCAAGCAAATTCTACAAAAAACACAATTAAAAAACGTATGTTTGAAGATAAAATATATTTGCATTTAAAAAGTTGCAAATTAGGTACCTAGCAACAAATTCGAAAAATTAAAGATAAAACTGTTGACTTGTTAAAATGTTGATTCAAAACTTAATTCAAGTGCAAAAGAATAAAATATAAAAATATTTAGCTAATCTGCATTTAATTTATAAAAAGTAAAAATTATTTAGTTACCTATATATGTTTATAAAAATAATTTAACTGGGATTTAATTCTATAGGTTAGATTTTCTAATCTCTGCGCCATTAATTATAAATAAGTAAATCATAAAGGGTTATTATTGTATATCAGAATATTCTAATGATGTTATTGGTTTATAAAATATGTTTATTAATAAAACCTATAAAAGCACTAAATTATTATGTTGGTGTTTAAAATTAATACATTTTTCCAACTTTGGATGTATATATATATATATACCTATACAATAATTACTAAATCTGTTTTTGATTTGAAGATTATACGTGTAGTGATCGAAGTGGCTTAAAATGGAAAGGAAAAGGCTAAAAAAGTATAAATCATTGACTATCGTTATAATACATTAATAATGTAAGTTGGAAATTAAGTTAAATTAAGTTAAATATAAAAAATCAATGCCATCTCCCTAAAAAATCGACTACTATATACATAAAATATTTAATTATATTACCCCTAGCAATATTAACTTATGAAAAACAATTTTCGGAATTTTTATAATTAAATTTTCCAGCCATTTTTATGAAATGATCTTTATTTTAAAGCTTTTCTAAAACTCAATTATTCATTCTACAAAAACCGCATAATGGAAATTCGTTAACACAAGTTGTTTTAATTTCTCCGAATGTCTCATATACAATAACACTGTTATATACGCACTTTTAAATAATCAAACTTTAACAACAAAAAACGATTTCAATATGCAATCAATACGAATCAACAGTCGTCATAAAATTAATATCTGTTATATAAATATATATGTAATATATGTTTTTACTTCCACTTCCGTAGTCATAAAATATAGCACGTTGCTATATCTGGAAGGTCAGAAAAATACCACTTGACAAATACAAGTATACATCTAACCTAATTTATACACCTAAACCTTATTTATATCATACATTAATAACCAAACACGATGTCATTGAACAATACAACAGTTTAACTTACATAAAATATAACTTGTTTGATATTTAAACGATACGTACCTTCTAACAAAGTGTTATATTATAATAACTATATTCTAATACATCCAATTTTAAAACGGTTAAAAATAAAAAGTGATACATTCAACACAGGAACATTCAGTAAATCTGTCCTAAAAAATATTTTTCTATCTATTATAAATTAAATAATAAATTATTTAAATATACGCCCGCGCCCTTTTGATCAATCAGAACCCTTATAACTTAAAACTTAAAAACATTTTGATATTTATAAGTTTATAACTATTTATGTGTTTATAAAAAACAGCATTTGTGAATTTATGAGTTGTATTACTTTTTTATTATATATAATAATTTATAAATTTAAAGGGATTTAAAATTTTAAACATTCAAAGATATATTTTTTTTAATAAAAATGTATAGGTGTCATTTTCATTGTTTGAAACAGATAGTATTAGTATGTAATAAATATGCTCTTCCAACCATTTTTAAACCCCATATTTTGCTACTAAGTAAACTATTTATATTCAATTTTCAATGATTTTAGAGTAGCTATTGTTATAATTGTTTCCATATAATGATTTTAGAACAGTGAAAAAGAAATATTTTTGTGATATACTATTAGTTATCTAAAGCGAAAACTGAAGAATCCTGCATAACTTCAAATTTTAAAAGCCATGTTTAAACATTAATCAAACTTTAATTATTTGATTTAGAATAAATTAGAAAATTGAATTATCATAAATAATAATTAATGTTTTTTGGAATCATTTGAATTGTTATATTTTATTTTAGGCAATTAATTCTTGAAATAAATGATAATGAATTAATACAATTTAAAATAATAGGTAATTATGGTTAATTCTATACCTAATTAATTCCAATATTAATAATCTGTTTGACGTATCTATGTCAATGTTAAGACTATTATTTTTTCTAATAGATATTTTGATGGAAAAATAATAATAACAATATAAAAAATATTATTTGGATAGGTAGTTAAATTGCTTGGTGTTTTTTAAATTAAAATTTGAAATCATAAAATGTATAGTATCTAAGTGAGGTATCTAGTGATTGCTATGTGACATTCTAGCAGAAAGTTATCTTAATTATATGAGAACTTAATATATATGAATGTTAAAAATCAATCTACAGAGTTTTGTTCAATTTGTAAGTATCCCTGAAATTTAAATGCCTAACTCCTAACTCGACTACAAATATTGGGAATTATTATTTTGGATACACCTATATGGATTCGTCCAATTCAAAGATAGGGATTTATTAAATTATATTATTAATTATTTTATTTATAGTGTTCAATCCACGAAGAAACATGATCTTATTCAACTTACTGAATAACGGTGCTATTCGTTTAATTACGTGGAAAGAGGTTTGAATTTATAAAATAGGAGGTATTGAAGTAGGTACTTAAATAAAATCAAAATATAAACATACAATGTGGATATATGTATATTATATATGCAGAGTAATAAACCAAAGATGCTTACTGCCATTTTTCCCTTTAATAATGAATTTGAATTTTGGAATTGTGTAAGAAAAAAGAACCATATTTTCAATAATGTTAATTTTTATATTGATAAACAGAATGTCCTGTGTGAATACATACTCCTTTTTTCAAATGATAACCATTTTTATTGTATGTAAATAGTTAAGCAAATCTTTATTGATAATTCTTTATTGAAAATGTCATTTAAAATCAAAAATCAAAATTGGAACAGGTAATTTTTGAGTTATTAAATTATATACACTCTAAGTGTAACAGTATTTTTATACATGGGAAATTTTTACAAGTTATAAAATGTGACGATAAAACTCATACCATCATACGATCATGATGATGGTGAAATGTTGATAGATTAATATTAACTACTGACATTTTCAATTTATCATACTCTCAAAATCTTGCTATATTCACATCTATATTTAACTCAAAAACAACAATTAAAATATAGATTTTTATACATCAATATTAGTATGAGTAGGTAATATCTACTATTTGAGTATAGATAGTAGTATAGTATACTATATAGTATAGTATAGTATATACTATCTATACTCAATGGTAATATGTATACATAGTATAATTTATTTATTGATTACATACATAATTATATTGTTATTAATTTACAGGAAAAATGAGCAACGCCCATTTTTTTTTTCTTAAATAAGTTTATAGCACCACATTACATTCATAAAATGGTAAATAAAAAATCTAAATATTTGAAATTAAAATCCTTGAGTACTTTAACTTAAAAATTTTAAGAATCTGAATTTGGATAAATGCAATACTAAAGGAGTGAACATATTTAGTGAATCATTTTGTATATATTTATTAATTTAAAACTTTACATATAAAAACCAACTGTAAAATATGCATGTTATTAAAGTATTCCCAAACCTAACCAAAGTTGCATAGCATAACTAAAAGGCTTAAAATAGACAACATTGAATCAATCAATGTTTTTCTTTTTTTTTATCAATAGGCAAATTGTAAGATTATAAATATTTGAACAATAAAATTAACAATTGATGGTATGCAATTTAAAAATGCTAATAAATTATAAAAATGTACAAATTGTAAAATATAAAAAAAATGCAACTTTTTTTGAGAATATAAGCAATGTAACTAAATATTAAATAACAATGTTGGCCTTATGCTTATAGCTCAATTTAATGAAAACATATTTTTGTAAATAAAACTATTTTGATTGATGATCATAGTACACAAAACTTAAAAATGAAGAAACCTATCAGTAAAACATATTTCCCCAATGTATATATAATATCTGATTTCCTTCGATTTACATGCCAACACTTAGAGTAAACACTTTTGTTCATTAGCAGCAACATGGTGACAACTAATTAGTCGCTAAATAAGCTATTGTATTGATGTCTCTGCATTGAATAAAATATAACTTCAATGTCAGATTTTAGACATAGAAATAACCAAATGTAAAAGGTGTATAAGGTGTATAAGATGTAGAATAGAAATATCATGTATTATTATTACGAATTAAAAATAAAATTACATTTGAATAACGTAAATTATAAACAATGTATTAAATAATACTTTCTAAAAAGGATTATTATGCAGAAAATATTAAAATAAATAACTAATCAACTTACCAGGATAAAAATCATTTGTTTTTGACATTTTAATCTTGGTATTGGTCTCTGTTTGTAGCTGTGCAATTGTCTCCCCGCCTTTACCAATGATGGCACCAGCAGTTATACAGGGAATTAAAATCTTCATGTGATACATTCCATCTGAATTTCCTAAAAAAATAATAATAAAATAGGTAACTAATTGTGATTAAACTAAACAATTATTATAAATTTTAATAAATGCATTCTTAAACTATAAACACAATTTATATTATTTAAACAAAAAAACAAAAAAATACTATAATATGCCTCAGAAAAATAGATTTAACAGAAATATTAATAACTATAATAAATATCGTTGATAACTTATCATATTAATATGTTCTATTTGTAATTCATATTAGATAAATAGATGTCAGTAAATTCCTCGCATTAAATTTAATCATATTGCTAAAGCTACTGAGAGGGTATAACTTCAAATAATAATTAAAAACATTTTATTGAAGTAGTATCAACAAGTAGGTTACTAGCTAAAAACACTTCTGATAAATTATTACCTACTGAATCTCACACAAAATATATTATAATCTGAAATTGGCCCCAATCTGCATAGGCCCGACCCGCGATTTTCGGAATATGAGATAATATCCTCTCTGGTCAGTACTGCAATCTAACGAGTATTCTAATATTATAATATATTGCTTAATTATATTTTATTTATTTTGTTGTTAAATCTATTTAAATTAGGACTCGAGTCTATAATATTTAACCACTTATTGTGTTTCTTTTGTATGGAAACCCATCTTGGTAGAATAGGATAATAGTACATATTTTATTATGTTAAATTGCTCACAAAGTYACAACCAGCCATCTCTATATGGGTATTCTCTGTCCGTCAATATGTCACGAATAACAATATCCACATAAGCACAAAAGTGTCATGTTAAAGTGATTGTATGAATATTTCGTATGCAATGTGCTTACAAATCGATATCTTTGAAACGTTCTCAAGTCTCGTTCACATTAAACATGGTTTGATAAAGCGTTTAAAAGGAAACGATATTTAGCTAACAATACGATATAATAATATATAATATTATTAAAATTAGTCCGTAAATTTCGGCCTAGTAGGTAAATTCGAAGAAAAAAACAATAACAATAATTGCATACTGTAAGAGCACATTAATCTCAATTAATTCACTTATTTAATTTCTACTGTGATCTATTTATAATCTGTAATGTTTTGACCAATAATTGTAAAAAAAAAAAATGGTATTTTGTAAGAATCGTTCAAATAATCTTAATAATATAAATATTAGAATAAAACGGATATGCCTATACAGTATACACAATAGGTACACATTAATATTTAAAAAAAATTGCAGATTATTAACTTAATTGCTCTTGATATTATGCTTGGGTTGAGTTTTCGTAATGAGTTGTGTGTGCATATTAATTTACAAATTACAAACATTTTGCACTAATTAACATTATCATGTTTGCAATGTTAACAGGTTGATCGCAAGTCCACAACGGGTTTTTTTCTTCAAATTACTAAAATCTGCTTTTGAGATTCAGGTCCTCAAAAAAAAAAAACCAATTTGGCAATTTGTATTTTGCGGCTCTTTTTAGAATATTTAAAGTCTCACTGAAATCGATTTTCAGCGATACCACATTTAAGATTTTGACYCATGACTTCGTGAGTCATGAATTCTCAATAGTCAATAATCATTTTATTTTTCTCATTGCCTCATTGGATTTGAAATGCACAGTGTTACCACATAGAATATATTCTGTAGTTACCAACTTAAGTAGGTATATCAAGCTTGCAAATAATTGATAATTATAATTATAGTTATTGGTTTTTTTTTCGTTGACAAAAATATATTATTGAATAAACCAGCAGCTGGTATGATAGCCATTTTCTAATAAAACATGTTACCTAAAATAACTTCAAATATCTCATTTTGATCATTTCATTCCTGGACTGTTCTATTTTCTATTATAATACGTCATTGGGTATTTTTTTTTAAATAAATTTTATTGAAACCTTTCAAAAAACGTAGTGGTGTCAGGGAGTAAATGAGTTACCGTGAACCCAAAAAGAGTCTCATGGCGGCCATCTTGTTAAATATAAAATTGTGTGTTTGTAGTTTTGTACATAGTAAGTATACAAATTTTAATAATTATTATTAGGTATCTAAAATTATTTTTAAAATGTAATTACTTCGTGTCTTCGTCTATACTTTATAATATTTTATTTTAAAGCATAAATTAAATGGAAATGGGTAGTTCTGGTCCGTTGGCACAAAATTAATACTGATTGTAATTACACTTGGAATGGAATACTATATACCAGCTTTGGATATTCTGCCAAAATCACTAGCTCATTTGCCAAGTCTTTTAAAACTCAAATAATATCCCTGTCATTTGTCAATGTGTAAATGAATGTTTTGTATAATATTAAGTACTTTAGTTCTATGATTAACGAGTAATTTTGAAAGATTCTATTTCGTTTTAATTGATTTTAAACGTTGCAGTAACTTAAGAAATTATTTAGAAGTTAGAAGCGAACTATGTCTGCTATTTTGTTATTCAAAGGACGATGACTTTTTGTAACATGTTGTTTTGTAATCGATTGAAACTTGATAGATTATTACATCGTATGTTTACCACTATTCAAAAAAAAAAAAACATTTGTGCAATCAAATATTATTTTAAACACGGGCGTAGAAATTCCTTATTTTAGGTATTAAGTACAATGTTACCTAGTGTGTAGTTATTATTATTGACACATTCAATAAAATATCAATAATATAATCTTTGTTATATGAACTGTTGTACCTAAGTGTAATAGGTACATTAGGTGCATAAAAATAATACAATACACACTTAATTTTTTCCTTTCTAATCTAGAAATAAACAACATTAATAAAAATAAACATATTATAAACATAAAATAACTTATGGAATCTTTGATGTAATTTATACATATTTTATTATTAAAACGATTTTCCATTACCTATTCCCTTTATTAGTCATAGGTACGTTCATGGTATTATAATATTATCGTGTTTTGTATGGTTGACTTAATAGAATAGTGTTTTATCTATGTACAATTAATTTCCATATTATGCTGTGAAATCGATGTACCTAATGTGCTCAGAAGCCGTACGTGAGATGTAAATATTAATATCTGTCCATGAATCTGTGTGGTTTTTTTCTAAATATGTATTTAAATGAATACAAAATCAATATATATTTTTTTTTTTGTAATAAATTTAGCCTATATTTCCTATTAATTAAAAACAAAAATTGTTCTGGAGTAAATCAGATGTTTATWATTGATTATGGTGCTCATTGTGAAATTAACTTATTTCATTAGATTTCACCAGTACCAGATAACATAGATAGATGACCCGATTATACAAGTTTTCCTGTGCCGATTTATAATCCTACTCCACCCCTGCTCGTTTGAAGTAATATTGCATAATATTAATGTTCATAGCGYTGTTAAGTATGTATTACGTATTTTCTATACTATATTGTGTCAAGTAGGTAGGTAATAAAAATAAAATAATATTCAACTTATTGTTGGTAGACGATATTGTTCTTGTTGTGTATATTATATTTCAACGTAAACATTCAGTGTCGGGTAAAATGTTCTTGTAAATATACCTATTATCTCATGATTATTTTGAATTTGAACAGCACAGACATCACGCTGTTCCTTGTATGGTCTAATACCAACGGTAACGAAAATGATTTTTTGGAAATAAATTGGCATGAGATAATTCGATGAATGTACTATTCCATACGTTATGTTATATACGTCGGGCATTTTCAGACATAACTATTATTATTATTTAATACCGTTAAAATGATCTTGCCGGTAAAATGCTGAGTTTGTCATTTCCTAGGTCCTATAGTTAGTTAGGATAATGTTTCGATAGCTCAACTTCAAAAATAATGATTAATGGCTTTTATTACATGGACAACGAATTCGTGTTCAAAATACTAAGATACGATATATGATACATTTCGTAAAAATTAAGCCTAGAAATATATATTTATGACTATACCATTATTAGTTTTAAGTCCTACCTACAAAAGAATCGTGCAATTAATCTTCACAACGAGTAACTGCACGTTTTTATTTTATGAATACATGTTGTGAGATATATATGATACAYATAACTTTTATTAAATTAAGCTCATCATAATGATTTTAAATTTATGTTAAATGCATGTTATGTGATGTTAAAAAATATTATTTTGCTATAAATAATTAAAACAAAATAAGAAAAAATCTGTTAAAGCAACAAATTATCCATAACAAAATCTTTGTATATTATTAGTATAAATTATAGTTTACTAATTAAGAATGTTCCACAGACCATATATATAATGTAAGGTCTTTACTAAAAAACCTCACGTTTCCTTTTTTAACGTTATAGTTTATATTTTACTTAGTATTTATTTTTTTTCAAGGAAAACTTCAAATCTCATTGCGTTTAAGGTCGAGGTTTAAGCTCTAGTTAAAATAGAATAGATATTAGATACTATAGATGAATAGYTAATGGCACATTATAAAATATTTTTCAAGTAAATCATAACCCGCTTATACGTTTTAGGTTACCTAATTAGGTAGGTAAAAGATCAACTGAAAAAATAATGAATGTATTGTATCTCTTAAGTTAACTATATATCAATATTTAATACTTTTCACTGAGTGAACATATTCATTAAATCGTATATAATAATATATTTATATTAAATGTTACTTGCTATATCACTCATGTTTGAAAACACTTGGCCATTAAAAAAATATCGTTATTTTGAAACTATTAACATAAAATATAACAAAAACCGTAAACAGTTTTTTTTCTCTCTAATCACGTATAATKAAGTTAATAATTTAAAAGTATATACTGCGATGTTCTGTTTTGTTTTCGATTCACCTTTCGAGTAATTGAATCGCTCATTTGTGTAGGGCAAACGCAAATAACAAACAACAACGAGGATATGCAGTGACGACGTCGTGCACCCTCTTTCGCATAACGAGCTATTCGATTGATATAAATAATATATACCTATATCGATTTCATAAATTAATTTATGCATTTCTGCTGGCACATGTGTATAAGTGCGTTTAATATAGGTACACACGT